TTTTCAATTGGGGCTAGAGTAAGGATGACAGAGAAAAGGTTGGAGTGAGAGAGATGAAAGAGAAAGGATTGAGAGGAATGAGAGAGGTGAGCAAGGGTTTGGGGTTTCTTCTTTTTTTTTTAAGTTTTGAGAATGAAAATTATTAAAATACCCTTAACCTTAAAACTTAGAATCCATGATATATAAGGGTATTTTTGTCTACTAAAATCCGGTACACATTGCTAAAATGTACCAACTGAAAAACAGGCGTACGTGCGTTAGCAAATCCCATATATATATATATATATATATACACGAATAAAGATGTTAAGGTTTGAGAATTAAAAACTCATAATTGATTTTTGCTCTCTGAGTAGTAATCTGTTTGTTTATGAATGAAAGTCCTTAAAGAATAGGGTTTTCGTTTTTCAATAAAGGAATTCTCATTTTACATTTGTTTATTTTTATTGGACATTTGTTCATTTATTATACATTTGTTATTAGGATTTTTATTGTACATTTGTTCATTTATTGTAGATTTGTTCATTAGGATTTTTATTGTACTTTTGTTTATTTATTCTATATTTGTTTATTAGGATTCTTATTTTTTTCATTTATTGTAGCTTTGTTTATTAGGATTCTTATTTTTGTTCATTTATTATACATTTGTTTATTAGGATTTTTTGTGTACATTGATTAATTTATTCTACATTGTTTATTAGGATTCTTATTATACATTTATTCATTTAATTTTGTTTCAGTAGGGGTGTGGAGACCAAGATACGAACCTAACAACCTTGCTCCGTTTCTCTCTTGTGCTGGTTTCACTGTGTTGTATTTCCCTCTCTCTTCTCTGATCCTCGTAAGCAAAGTTGGTTGGGTACCTGCAAAGGCACTCCGACGCTCAAGTCAACAGGGGTGTTGTTCGAAATATGAAAATCTCAATCCATTTTCTCTTAAGGGAAAAACGTACCTTTTTTCTGGTGTGCTTCGTATATTTAAATTAGCATAATAAACCGTTTACCTGAAAATCCGGTCAGTTACTGAAGTTGAATGTTTAGAAGCTGTAACCGTCGAATTGTGCGCTGACACTGAGTCAATTATTTCCACGATATATGGTCGTGATTCGCGGCGTTATTCAGTCAAGGTGTGTAACTGCTTAACTGCTAGATCACGGTGTCGCATTCTGTATGTCGATCATCATTCGTGTCGACCTAAGTGGATGACGTGTCGGACGTATGTCTCATGTCGCGACATCGCTTATGCGGCTGTCGAACCTCAAATGGTCGAGAGCGCCACGTGGTCGTAAACAATTACGGTCGGTTATCAAGTGATCGACCAAGCTGTGTGGTCGAACGTCATTACAGTAACCTTCAGTGGTTGTTATTGGTTGACCGTTGGAGGGTTAGGTATCCTATAGTACATGCCCCCCAAGTCCGAGTAAATGGGTGACAAAGTTACGAAGGACTTTGAGTATTGTTTGAAGAATCGAGGGAAACTCTCTCCTTGACATAGTTCTGGAGGTAACCTGCACGAATGAGTCGTTCTAACTCGTCTTTTACCATGTTGCACTCTTCCGTGTCGTGCCCATGGTTCATGTGGAACCGGCAGATTTTGCTGTTATCCGCATTCTTGGGAGTGACTTTTCGCCGCACGGTTCTTCAAACAATACTCAAAGTCCTTCGTAACTTTGTCACCCATTTACTCGGACTTGGGGGGCATGTACTATAGGATACCTAACCCTCCAACGGTCAACCAATAACAACCACTGAAGGTTACTGTAATGACGTTCGACCACACAGCTTGGTCGATCACTTGATAACCGACCGTAATAGCTTACGACCACGTGGCGCTCTCGACCATTTGAGGTTCGACAGCCGCATAAGCGATGTCGCGACATGAGACATACGTCCGACACGTCATCCACTTAGGTCGACACGAATGATGATCGACATACAGAATGCGACACCGTGATCTAGCAGTTAAGCAGTTACACACCTTGACTGAATAACGCCGCGAATCACGACCATATATCGTGGAAATAATTGACTCAGTGTCAGCGCACAATTCGACGGTTACAGCTTCTAAACAATCAACTTCAGTAACTGACCGGATTTTCAGGTAAACGGTTTATTATGCTAATTTAAATATACGAAGCACACCAGAAAAAAGGTACGTTTTTCCCTTAAGAGAAAATGGATTGAGATTTTCATATTTCGAACAACACCCCTGTTGACTTGAGCGTCGGAGTGCCTTTGCAGGTACCCAGCCCACTTTGCTTACGAGGATCAGAGAAGAGAGAGGGAAATACAACACAGTGAAACCAGCACAAGAGAGAAACGGAGCAAGGTTGTTAGGTTCGTATCTTGGTCTCCACACCCCTACTGAAACAAATTTATTGTACATTTGTTTATTTATTGTACATTTACTTATTGAGATTCTTATGATATATTTGTTCATTTATTGTACATTTATTCCGTAGGATTCTTATTGTGCATTTGCAATGGTGAAAGATATATTGATAAATGATCACATGCAGGCTTTTGATCGTCCACTTATCTAGATGGCTGAATGATATCACCGAGTTTATCCTCATACCCATGTTGTTCTCAATGACTGTATTGTCGTTTCCGCTCCAAGACATTATCTCAGAATGGTGCAAAGACAACGAAGTTGACGTCCATGACAAACAACTAACCAAGGCACACAGACACCATTTTTGCGTTCTCTGCTCTTCAAGTTGTCACTTGCATAAAGAAATGCAAAGTTAGAAAAAAAATGTCCGTTCGAGCACTGAACACACAAATGATAGAGCTTTGTTGCGTCCGTTATTATCCGTATCTCCTGCGGATACTTTTCAAAATTACAAAATAATAATTATACCAATTTCTATTAAAACTATCTATTTTATATTACATCATAAAAAATTATCTATATAAAATATCATATAAAATTGCAAAACAAACCAAAATAATAATTAAAAATGTATTAAAAGTTAACTCATTTAGATTTGACATACTAATCCCACTAAATCACACCCTAAGTGGACTAAAAATATAAGACTTATTTTAGAAGAAATTAGAGTTATGAATTAAGCACTCAAATGACAATTCTACATTTTAGATCACTAGTGCAAAATAATGTTTCAACGTGCATTTTTGTAAATAAAAGTTCATTTAAGTCGCACATTGAGAAATCTGACGTCGAACATTGATAAATCTGACGTCATATTGATTAAATTTTGCGAAAATCTTTGGCACGAAAATGTACTTATGCATTATGTCGGATGTCCTAGTTTCAAATGTCAAAAGGATATAAGACATTTGGATATCACTTTTCAAATATTATATGTCAATGAATTCAATAAAAATTTGAACGGATGTTGAAAATTTATTCATTTCATCTTAGCACGAGACTTTCTTATATACTCAAACTTTTCTCGAACAAAACTTGGCGACTAACACGTATATTCTTTCTTTCATTTTATACAAATATGTTGATTAACTACTTCAAGTATGATTTTTGTTTGTATTATACTTAAGCATATCAATAGACACGAATAGAAATAAATAATACAAAAGTTAAGATCAACAGTATATCGTGCCTAACACAATCACTTTTAATAAAATTTATTTTAAAATTGTTTAAATACTATGCTAATTTTATATATACTAAATCCATTTTATTAATTTTAAAATATCAAAGTCAAAGCAAGCAAAGTATGCAAATGAACAAGCCGGAACGTGATGCTATGATGAGTTTAAGATTGAAAATCAAATGCAAAACTAGAGTAAATAATTTGGAATGACTCTGAGAGTAGGTTATCTCATACAAAGAGATGAGATTCATCAAAAAGGGAAGTGAGTGTTCAGTATTTAATGTTTGAATGAGAAGAAGGTCCAATTGTAGATTACTGATTACGGCTGCATAGTACAGTTCCACCCCACACATGGGGATCATGAGATTCAAGGAGAGAACACAGAGGATTCAATTGTCGATGGTGAGTGTTAGCTGTGAAATATGGTTTTGATTGGGTTTTTTGTAAAAAGAGAAACAAAAATAATCTGGTTCAAAAACATTGGCCACCGTGTCTGATTTTATCTGTCATCTGATTTGTTATAAATGAATTGAGTTAATATATGGTTTGAGCATATATTACTGGATATGCCAATATGTTCTAAATGGATGTAAAACAAAGATTCATTTTTAACATCATGCAGCGCAAGTTTCTGGCCTTGGATCCGATCCAATCCATCATCCCATTACCTACATACTACAATTTTGTACTACGAATTGTACATGGACCTAAATTAATTTAGAGACTCTAACATCGAAACACTTGCATGAGCGCTACCACTTTCAAGCTTTACTTCAGCTTCAGAAGTCACACTTCACTATGATACAAATTCACATCCAGACTCCAGGTGGTCAGACTCCTTCCCTAATTATTGCTTCAGGCTTTTCAAAGCAGCAGCAAAAATCTAATAAAAAGAGAACAAGCACAAGTTAGCAGTATATTATCAAAACTAGTATTAATTTGTGTTGTGACAGGCTAATGCATTCTTTATTGTCAATGCATAACTTGAATTAAAACAGGAAACATGCATAATGTCATCATACAAATAAAGCCTCACTCAAGCAAAACATGTTTTACAACCTATGAATGATAAAAGACTCATCCTTTGAGCATGTGCCAAATTCCTTGAATTGCTAGCACAACTTTGCATTCAGACACAAAACAAGGTAATAAATGCATGAGTGCACACATGAGCAGCTTCATTTGACTACTCCATAACATGAATCAAGATTAGATACACAATGATGCAAGAAACAAATGGAAGGTGCAAAAAAATTAAATACTAACGATGGCTCTAATGGGATAGATGACAAAGCCACCACATCTGTAAGGACTCAGTGTACTTCGTGGGTAGACATGACCCAGCGTCCCAAACTTGCCCAGCTTAATGATTTAATTATTACGCATTGCATAATCTATTCTAGACAATAAGCAAGTATGCCATCCCCCTCCCTCAATGTTGAACGATTCCCAGGTCCAATTGACTGTTCAAAACAAATACCTTAATATGAATTGGAGCAATATACTACTGACGTATTCCATAAACCAGTCATACCAGCATCAGGCACAATTTATGTATCATCCCCTTCGGAGAAAAAGATTATACATAAACCTTAACATGAACTGGAGCAATATACTACTGACATAGTCCAAAAACCAGTCATATCAGCATCAGGCATAATTTATGTATCGTCCCTTTGGGGAAAAAGGAGGTGATACAATTGATGTAAAGCGAGTGTTACACCAAATGAAAATCCCTCTTCCCTCTTTTTCTTGAGCATTCATGTTCTATGTTTGCTTTAGTTATCACTTTACATAATACTGATAATAATAACTATAAAATGGGGCTCCAACAAAAAGTTATAGTACATATATAATGACACCATTTCAAGAAAGAGATACCTTAGACGGTGCTTGAGGATACTGTCTCAAATCTGCTTCTACACCGGTAGAGCGAGTCTGCCTACGGCTCCCCTCACTATAATTACTACTACTTTTCTTTTCACGATATGATGGCAAGGTCGAATCGTCAAATTTCCTATCTAACTCGGTGGATGATATATTGTCATTTTCCATAGACCTTCCTCCGGATCGTAGATTATAAGATCTTGCAATATGTGTGTCCTCATTATCAGCATTCATTGTATCAGGTGCATTGTTCCGAGCAGTAGTACTATGGGAATTCTGATCCTTCTTTGAGAACTGAGTGGCTGCCGCCTGTGCCCCAGCTATGGCCAGACTTATACTGGATGATTTGTCCACTTCAGTAGCTTTTGAATGAGGAGTAAGCGCAGAGATGGAACCTGGCTTCAAGCAAAATGGATCTCGTGGGTCTGGAAGTGGAAATTTCACTGGCAGCGGGCTATTAACCGGGGACAGCCCTCTAACTGCAGCATCATAAATCTTCAAATAAGTAGAAAAATCAGCCTTCACTCCAAGAAAAAACAGAAAGCAAGAAACCAATTTAGAATCACAATACCTTCCTTTCAAGATTATAAACACCTTGGTAACCCCGCATCTCAAATGGAATCAACAATTTCTGGATTAGGCACAGAAAACACTTAATATTTGCTCAGCATACACACAAACAGTACCTAATTTTATAAACATAGGAATAGCACAGCAGTAGAGAGACACACAAACCTGTGGCCGTTCACACAGCCAACAATAATCAGTCTGTGCTTCCAACCTCACCTAAGGAAAAATAAAAAAAATGGGCTTTAAAGTGAAGAGAATAAGCAACACTAGGAAACAAAAAGTTAAAAACAAAAGAAAAAAGAAAAAGAAAAGAAACAGTAAACAGTATGTTACCCCTTCAGGAACCATCTCCCAGCATGCTAGCTCATCACGAGTTAAGCAGCCCACGACTTCAACACAGCCTGCGCATCAATCATTCAAATGAGTGAATTGACAGAGAAAGAGGTTGTGAATTGAGATATTACGCTGTAATTTATACCCAAAAGCCTAGAAACGGGGTAGTGTTGAGGAAATTGGATATCAGTGACGCCATTGAGCGCATAAATCTCCCGATAGAAATATTCCATTGCTTTGATTGTAGACTCATCCGGGACTTTACTGGCGGCATGAATCCAGAGACGACCTTAACAAACACAAGGAATAAAGAACATCAAACATAGGACATGGGACACAGGCAGGTTAATTGTTTGATACATTAAGATTGAAATCAAAGAGAAACCTGTGATTGGAGCGGGCCATGACCTGCCCTCGACGCGCTTGATCCCATAAACGAGAAGAGAAGCCCAAGGCTGGTGCATCGTTAAACATGGATTCCGGTAATTGCCGGAGTTAGAATGGTTCCGTCGCATCCTATGGTGGCTTCACCTCGATCTTACTTCGCTCTCCCACACCAACAAAGATTCTGTGCCTGCCTACGCCCAAATACCGCAGTAGAACGATCGTTCGTTGTTTGTGTCTTCGTTTACTCACGTTTTTAATCTTTTAATCTGTGAAGTTTAAGAATACTCTCTAACGATTAAAATATTAGGAAACTCGTGTGTGTATATATATATATATATATATAATATGATATAAGTTTATTCACAAATTTAAATGATAAATATTTGTTTAGTTATTCGAATGTGATATATATTGTTATTATCTTTTATTATTGTGTCATCTGAAACCGTTGGTGATATTGATAATCTGATGATAATATATTTAATATTTCTTTGGGAGATCTAAACTGATAATATATTCGATTGTTTTTACTTTATCCAGAAATGAAATTTTTTTTAGTTCTCTAACGACTTTTATTCTTATTTTTATCTCGGATTAAAAAAATTAAATTGTTATCTCCAATATTAAGAAAAGTTATTCTTTTTCATTCAGAGTTGAGGTTAATTTTCTAGGCTATAATGAGTCGTCCAAGATTAAGAGATAATTTTTAATTATTATTCACCTAATCATGATCTAATTATGATTGATCATATTTTAAGTTTAAGTTGATTAACATTAAGATTAATGCATTGACTCATGATCGATTAATTGAATGGATGACTGATCGAATTCACGAATGGCTTGTTTGGTGGTCTCAACTAAGGTTAATTGTTTAACATGTGGCTCACTGAACTTCAGCTTCAAAAATATTTAAAGAAAAAAATTAATATAAATGCAAATTTGAATATTCTTGATTGATGAAAAATTAATTTATATAGATTTTTTATACTTTTATGCATGTTTCTATTGTAGCGTTTGAGTTTAGGTATGGCATATAAGGAAGACTCTTTTATCCATATTGTAGTTCTTTGTCATGTCCAAAGGTACAAACAATTATATGTATAAAAGATTGGTTAAAAGACATATTTACCATCATCGTTACACAATTATTAAATATATAATAAAGAACAATAACTTTGTGATGTTTCTTATAAAGTTAGTTTTGCAAAAGTATCATGTTAACAACTTTTTTTTAACAATAGATTATGTGTCATGATCCGTATATTTTAAATGGACCAATCACGAGCTACCACATAAGTTGTGAAATAATTGTCAAAAAAAATTTGTTAAAAAAACATGTTCCTTTGCAAAAATGTTGGTGGATCAATCACCATTTCTCTTAAATAATATGTTTGCTTTATGATCGTATTTTTTTGAGAATGGGATGTTATGATTTACAATTATTATGGATTATAAGTGTATCGTATATAATGTGGACCGAGCGGTCATGGAATAAGGCTGATCGGTCTATCTGTTGTTCGATCCATCCACTTAGGACCGATCGGTCTATCTACTGTAGTAGTGCTCGTCAACTCTACTGTAGCAGCGCTCGTCAACAAACCAGGTTAAATGATGTTGGGCCACAACGCTCGTCAACCAGGTCAAACCATGTTAAAAGGTGTTGGACCACTATTCGACTAATAATCTAGCAGAGGATAAAATAATCAAGGATATCTAATTAAAGATATTCATAAAACTGTTTATGAGCAACCAACCGAATCTTCAGGTAAGTTTGTTATTATTTCGTCTATGAAGCACTTATAAATACAATGACAGGGCCAAAAGCCAGGTATGTTCCATTCACGTTCAACTCACACTTCATAACACCCAAACATTCAATAGTGATAATACTTCACTCAATACTCAACCAAGAGCCAAGGCTCTTCAAATCACACGTCTAACTTGAGCGTCGGAGTATCTTTTGCAGGTACCTCCCCCCGGAGCACGAAGGCAACCGATCGGCTCAGACTGACGTGACCAAACGGCCCAGACGGAAATCAACCGAACGGCTCTGACAGAAGAAAGGCAAGCAGCTCAGGTGATCCCAGCTTTCGGAAGGAAGGAAGACACATCAGAACAGGTTAGTCTCTCGGTCCCGTAAAAATCTACCGAAACATTTTGGCACCCACCATGGGGGCGAGAGTAAGCAGAAGACGCCCAGATGGTGACCACGAGGAGCATGGACAGACAACAGAATACTAGAGATTTGATAGCGCAGATGCAAGCACAGATACAAGCACAGGCACAAGCACAACAAGAGATGTAGCAAAAGCACGTAACGGAGATTGCGGCACTAAGGGCGAAACGAGTCCATACCGAACGGTCCGCCTCAAACCACAAGAATGGAAACGAGGGAAGTCGTAATCGGCAGCCATCCCAACACACCAACCCAAACGGTCGAGGAAGGAGAGGACCTTCGCCCATCCAAACCGTTCGGCCAACCAGCTTACTCCCTTTTATGGCGACCATCATGCAAACTCCAATGCCATAGAAGGATCCTCCGGTATTAGAGAGGTATGATGGCTCAACGGATCCTGACAATCATCTTAGGATCTTCACCAATGTAATGGCGTTCTACACGGACAATGATGCGGTCATATGCAGAGCCTTCTCCTTATCGCTCATGGACGAAGCATTGGAGTGGTATAACACTCTTCCCCCAAACACAGTGGATTGTTTCGACACTGTAGAAACCCTCTTTAGAAGGCAATACGTCTCCAATTGGAAACATGAGATAACACCAGAGGAATTGGTAAATACTAAACAGGAGAAAGGGAAAACTTTGAAAGCCTTTATGAAAAGGTATAATGAAGCCGCACGGCGAGTTAAAGATGTTAATCACACTTTTATCTTCAACAACCTGCCTTCATGTCTAAGGCCAGGATATTTTGCTGAAAAATTATATGCACGACCACCAAAAACAATGGATGAACTTTAGGAAAGGATAACTGAGTTTGTTCGTATGGAGGACGTGAGGAGCCCAAGGAAGAAATAACAGTAGGAAGCTTCTGCAGGAGTAGCGAGAAAGGTAAGGTCCTTCGTTCGAAGGATTTTTCCCGAACGCCCAAGTTTACTCACTATACAACGCTTAATGTGCCGAGAGCAGAAATTCTGAATGAAGCCCTTATTGCTGACCTCTTCTCGGTAAAAAATGTTGTTACACTAAGAAACGCGGATGGAAGGAAGCATTGCAAATATCATCAGAACCGGGGACATACTACTCAAGAGTGTGTAACACTAAAAGATGACCTCGAGAAGCTTATCTGAAAGGGTCATCTCCGTAAGTATGTAAAGACGGATCGATCGCGTATAAGAAGCTCATCAAGGTCTCCACAAAGAAATACCGAACGACCGCATAGAAAGAAGGAGCAGAATCATAGGCGGGGTCGCAGCTGCAGCCGCAGCCATAGCTCTGACCGCACAATCCTGAGGCGTATCCACTAGAAGATATGATGAAAAGTCCTTCCTAACACTAGGAATGCGACTCATCTCAAGTTTACACTAATTGAATTTTGATGTCATGTTTTATTTCAATTAAACTATTTTGACAAGACTTACGTGTTTACACTTTTAGTATGAATAAAGCCAGAAAGTTCCTTTCAATCACATATGTTCAGTCGTTCGGCCTCATTAGTATTCAGCCGTTCGACTTCACAGTACAAGTGACAGGACCATGCAGACCACTCGTCCAAGAGGAGAGCAAGAACCGAACGGTGATAGAAGTTGTCAACGAACTGTCACTCTCGTAAACAAACCTATGGACGTTATCCAAAAAACACCTGGTTCAAACCAAGTAGTGATAAGAGTTCTCAACGAACTGTCACACTCATAAACAAAACCGAGGGACGTTATCTGAAAAACACCTGGTCCAAACCGAGCGGTGATACGAGTTCTCAACGAACTGTCACACTCGTAAACAAAACCGAGGGACGTTATTTGAAAAATACCTCGTCCAAACCGAGCGGTGATAAAAGTTCTCAACGAACTGTTACACTCGTAAACAAAACCCAGGGACGTTATCTGAAAAACACCTGGTCCAAACCGAGCGGTGATAAAAGTTCTCAATGAACTATCACTCTCGTAAACAAACCCAGGGACGTTATCTGAAAAACACCTGGTTCAAATCGAGCGGTGATAGAAGTTCTCAACGAACTGTCATTCTCGTAAACAAAACCCAGGGACGTTATCTGAAAAACACCTGATCCAAACCGAGCGGTGATAAAAGTTCTCAACGAACTGTCACACTCGTAAACAAAACCAGGGACGTTATTTGAAAAACACCTGGTCCAAACCGAGCGGTGGGGAACGCTCTAAGTGAACGCTCACTCTCGTCCTAAACCGAGCGGTGGGGAACATTCTAAGTGAGCGCTCGCTCTCGTCCTAAACCGAGTGGTGGGAAACGTTCTAAGTGAACGTTCACTCTCGTCCCAAATCGAGTGGTGGGGAACGTTCTAAGTGAACGCTCGCTCTTGTCCTAAACCGAGCGGTGGGGAACGTTTTAAGTGAACGCTGACGCTCGTCCTAAACCGAGCGGTGGGGAACTTCTAAGTG